GTGGAAGTTGAAGTCCAAAACACCAGGAGAGCTGAAGTTTGCCCATGCCTGCTACAGGCAGATAGCCTATGACGGTCAAGTGTTCTTGAGTTGACAAGACTTGGAAGTTTTACAGAACAACTGGCCCTGGTGGAAATAAAAATTGCAAGAAATATTAGAAAGATAAACTCAACTGCATTTGTGAGATATACTTTGGGGGCATCACTATTGGGACTTGCCTCTCAGAATATACAGATGTCCCACTGCTGCAGCCCAAAGCCAACATGGAGTGCTGAATGGAAATGCCTGCCTTCTCTCACTACAAGCTCTTTTAGCTGCAACCTGATGGGAGATATAATTCAGAAACATATTCCACCGCTGCTCTCACTCAGGAGTTAAAAGGCCTGCTTGATTTCATTATCTCCAGGTGACAGGTTCTGGATCGTAGCCACCATTTTGAAGATAATATTACTCTTCAATATGGCCCCCACTCTGCAATCCCAAGTACTGAACCTAGTGGCATTCAATACTAATCCCTGAGGTTTCAAAGTTACAATGAGACGTGAAAGTCAGTAAGTTCTCTGAATTTGCAGGGCCTCGCGAAGGGGATGGGCTAGAATTCCTTGCCAGTCACATGGGAAGCTACTCAAGGACACTGCACAGAAGTTTTCAAGCACACACTGTCAAACACAAGGGATCCACTTTCACATTCAGGCTTAAAAGAGCATGCTTAAATTAGATCGCTGGCCACAGGGCGTGTGTGCTTACAAACATTGCAGTGGCATATAAATCACGATTACTAGCTGGCACATCTCTCTCTGATCCTATTCACATTCTAAATCTTAAATGTCTGTGATAACAGTGGGGGGGGGGCCTCCACATTTTGGGGGCTCAGGAGCACCCGATTCCTACGAAAATAGGAATATATATATAAGTATCTCTGGGGCCCCAAGAGCCCATAGTGGCGCAGTGGGTTAAACCGCTGAGCTGCTGAACTTGCTGCCTGAAAGGTCGGCAGTTTGAATCTGGGGAGTGGGGTGAGCTCCCGCTGTTAGCTCCAGCTTTGCCAACCTAGAAGTTCAAAAACATGCAAATGTGAGTGGATCAATAGATACCGCTCCGGTGGGAAGGTATCAGTACTCCATGCAGTCATGCCAGCCACATGACCTTGGAGGCATCTACGGATAATGCCCTGTGCTGGCAGGACTCAAGAGACAGGTCGCAGGTTCAAATACGGGGAGAGGCAGATGAGCTCCCTCTATCAGCTCCAGCTCCTCATGCAGGGACATGAGAGAAGCCTCCCACAAGGATGATAAAAAAACATCAAATCATCTGGGCGTTTCCTGGGCAACGTCCTTGCAGACGGCCAATTCTCTCACAACTTAAAACAAGTCTGAACTGCAAATGGGGAAATAAAATATGAAAAAATTGAATAATTACTCATGCAAAGAAAAAAATGTTCAGTAACCCTTGTGGGAGAGAAAATATTCTGTAAAAAGGAGTTTCTCCTGAAAAGTTACTTTGGATCAAAGAACCGGTAAATTCCAGTCTGAAGGGGAAAATGCTGATTGAAGCTTTTACATAATATAGGGTGTTTTTCAAGACAGGAATCAAAACAAAAGAGATCTTTAACCCACAGTTATAGCCTTGGCCAAAACAAATAGAAATAGTTTTCTAAAAACATGGCAATTCTCCATCTTTGTTTAGAACACAAAGAGAAGTTGAATTCTCCAATGCATACACTTCCTGCTTTTATTCATATTTCTATAATCTGGTTATGGTTCAGGGGCTCTGGAGCAGCACTTGTACCCCCCACTCCCCAAAAATGATAAGGCACATGATTTGCACACAAAGCCCTCTTGCTTAATCTCTGTTATCCTCTGTCCAAATAATCAGGTAGCAGGTGATAGGAAATACACACACACAATCTCTGACTGAGATCCTAGAGAGCTGCTGCGAGTCAAAGTAGATCACACTGAGCTGGATGGACAAAAAGCCTGATCTAATGTAGGGCAGCCTCCTGTGTTCCTAAAGAACACGGTAAAGTAGGTCATACTCACTCCACAGAAATGGAAACACAGAGTGACTGGAATTTGCCCAAGTAACTCAGCAAATGGATGAACAGACTGCCATTTGGGTCCTGGCCACCTAGTCGTCAATTCAGAAGTGATGTTCTTTTCCCACATTAGTACACAAGGAGTAAATATGTGCCGTTGTGATGCGTGAAAGCGTGAAAGCCACATGTTTGTTTTTCCAGATGTACAGTATTGAGATTTTCATAAAATTCAGAAATTACAGGACCAGCACATTTCTTCACCATGCCTAGGTAGGTATAAAAGAAAAATCAGCCCCTGTTACAGGACCAATAAATACCACTATAGATACTATAGGTTTTTAGCCTTTTTCGTTCCACATGCCCTTCTGCCAGTCCGGCGAAAACAATTCTCAGAACGTAGCGGCAGATAGTTTCATGTCACTCAACATCAGTGTGTCTTTAAATTAAATTTTAATTTGCACAGAGCAGCATGGTGACCCTGTGCGACTAGCATCAGGTCTAACAATCAGTTGTAATTTCAAAGTGGAGCCTAGAGTCCCTGGTGGTGTAATGTGTTAAACCCTTAGGTCGGCAGTTTGAATCTGGGGAGCGGGTGAGCTCCTGTCTTTCAGCTCCAGCTCCTCATGCGGGGACATGAGAGAAGCCTCCCACAGGATGGTAAAACATCTGGGCACCCCCTGGGCAACATCCTTGCAGACAGCCAAATCTCTCACACCAGAAGTGACTTGCAGTTTCTCAAGTCGCTCCTGGCATGAAAAAAATTCAAAGTAAAGATGATTGTAAACAATTTTTGAGATTAACAACTGTAACGTAATGTGAAATGAATACTGTAATGTAGCATACATTCATAAGTGAAGGAAATGCTTGATTTCAGTTAGAGATCGGAGAAAATAAAGATTAGAAATTGATTTTTTTCCCCAATTTAAGCTAATGGACCCTGTGAAATTGTTCCACAGACACCTAGTTAATAAACCCTGCCATAGATAATTGTGCTTTCAATCACATCCTAATTTCTGGGACTAACACCCTCAGCACTTCTTGGCACTGGCTATGCAGGCTAGAGCTGCTAGGAGTTGTAGTCCAAACTTTTTGAAGACCACACAATTCCTGGGAGCTCTGGGTGGCACTGCAGGTTAAACTGCTAAGCTGCTGAACTTGCTGACCGAAAGGTCAGCGGTTCGAATAAGGAGCGAGGTGAGCTCCCACTGTTAGCCCCAGATTCTGACAACCTAGCAGTTCGAAAACATGCAAGTGTGAGTAGATCAAAAGGTGCTGCTTTGGCAGGAAGGTAACAGCACTCCATGCCGGCCACTTGAAGGGGTCTATGGACACGTTGGCTCTTCAGTTTAGAAATGGAGATGAGCACCAACCCGCACAGTCAGACACAACTAGACTTAATTTCAAGGGAAACCTTTACCTTAACCTTTACACAATTGCCACTTTGCTTTAAGTGAAAGGCCTACATAGGCAAATAGATTATTAGGCAGTGGTTTCAAAATTGCAGCACACACTTCTCAGCCAAGCTTGCCCCTTGAGAATGAATGTGTAAGATCCTGCAAGTGAGTGTGTGAACCTCATAATGGGGTAATATTTAATCATTTTTGTTAAGGTTTGTTCTTAAATAAGGTGTATGTCAATATGTATTTTAGGGTTGTCTGATAAAGCTGCTGGATCTCGCTATTCTTTAAAATTAACTTGATTATTCAAGATATTTTACATTTCTGTTTGTACAAAGCTCGTATCTGCATTCACATTTTAATAAAGCTTTAATAAAGAAACAATACATATATTTATTATGATTCTGAGGTTAGCCTGAATTAGCATTAAAAAGATATTTAAATGCATTATGTACCTAAAGGCAAAACCTTGCTTAAGCTGCAGATGTTGTGATAAAACTAGGGCCCCTTCCAAACAGCTGGATAAAATCCCACATCATCTGCTTTGAACTGGAATATATGGCAGTGTGGACTCAGATAATCAAGTTCAAAGCAAATATTGTGAGGTTTTCTGCCTTGATATTCTAGGTTATATGACTGTGTGGAAGGGCCCTAGGATTACTTTCTTGACAAGCCACAAAGTGAAAGTATTGCTAACATTGATCAATACTGGAAGACATTAGCAAGCAAGGGTTGGAAACAGCAGTTATATTCAAGCAGAAAACTTGTTCTCAAGGCTGAAAAAAAGCTACAGGCACGTGGCATTAAAATCCCATGAGATATTTCACTTTCTTCTTTTTCACAAGGTCTTTAACAATAGCCAAGACGATGAAAAAGCAAAGGTGAAGTTCAGCCTCTATCTGCTATGTTCCTTGCATACAGTGCTGGTTTACTTTCCTTAAAAATATCTTCCTTTGCTTGACAAAAGAGCTTGCCCTCAGCCAAGGTCATGTAAAGTTTTGCTCAAGTTGTGATGAATCATGCCAAGGGAGGGGGGAAAACCCCAAAAGCTTCTCTGAATGCGTTCCTCTCCTCCAGCCCTACAGGATTTGAAGTTATTAAACAGCTTGGGGGAAAAATAGGGAGGTGGATTCATGGGAGCAGGAAGGGGAGGGGGGAGGGAGCGAAAGCAGAAGTCCCTGTTTGCTGGCAGACATTTTGGCTCTTGTTTACATTTGCAGTCTGTGTGTTTCTCTTGTTGCAGAGCAATATGGCTGTCTGAAGAGCTGACAGCTTTGAATGCACAGCCACTGCTGGCTGCAGGCTCAGGTTCCCCTCCCAGTATCAAAGGTTGTGTAAAATTATGCAGACGCTGCACATACACGACGGAGGCAAGGAGTTTCTCCCCCTTTATTTACATGGTTTGATGGATCCTCGAAAGGCGGCTTAGAGGAGTGTAGTACGGGAAAGGGACCTCAAGGGCAGCTTTGGTGCGAGGGTCACCATCACAAATGTCCCTTCAGTCCAGAAGAAAAGAAGGGGCAAAAAATATAGCACAGCACGAACCGGGCAAGCTTGGAGCTACTTACCATTTGATGATGGTGGTGGGTGTTGGGAATGTTGGTTTCTTGGAAAAAAGCACTCAAAGCCGTCTATGTGTAAAAGACAAACAAAACACAAGGCGACTGTTAGAGCCCCAAGGGAAAAGTTGGAGGGCAAAGAGGGAAAAGAAATGATTTGTGGGTTTTTGTACAGAGAGAGCAATAAAAACAACAACAAAAGATCTCGGCACATGTTTGTTCCGCCTGCATCCAGCATTTCCACTCTACGCAAATAAGTTGACAACAAGAGGCAAGGTGGCATCAAGTATCTGGGACACTGAACAAATTCAAAAGAGGGGGGCACTACTAGAAAGAGAAGCCAGAGGGAAAACCAAAGCATACCACCACCCTAACATCAGGCCCAGCACCCCCAATACCTCCCCGCTCCAGGCACGCAATTAAAAATTATTTAAAGTAAACAACAACAAAACCCAACTGCAAGGGTTTAAAATCAGACCCCTCCCCAAGGAAGAGTGTTGGTTTAATTTCCAGAACAGGCTGGGGAGGGAAATAACTGGCTTCAGGTAATGCAAAGAGGAGGGGAGAGGAATCCATTCACTTTCCTGTGTGGGAAGAACATAATAATGCAACGGATGGGGACAAAGACACTTATCTCATCTGTTGTTGCCAACTGTCTTGGGCTTACGAACCAAAACAAAAGGCCCATGCGCCAAATGGGGGGTGGGGGAGGTCAGACAGGTGGCCAAGGATTTTCTTTAAAAATGCAAGGATTTCACTGTATCATGGTTTCATGCATTTCTCCTCTATTTCTATGACAGGCCATATATGTTGGGTTATGTTTATGTATAGATGTTACTTTGTGTCAATCTTTCTACATTTGTTTGTGTGTGTGTGTGTATGCATGCATATATATATATAAATATATATATAGGTACATGCATGTGTGTATGCACATATGTATTTGGGTTTATATATTGAGTGTATAAACACAAATACCTATGTGCATACACACACACATGCATAAACATGGTCCAAAGCATTTCTACTCTCTTTGTGCAACAAGCCATATATGTGTGGTTATGTTTATGTATAGATATAGCTTTGTGTCTATCTTTCCCCGTATGTGTGTGTGCATATATATATATATATATATGGGTGTATGTAAATATGTATCTATGTGTATATGCATATATGTGTATACACACATGTATTTGTGTATATAGAGTATATAAACACAAATACATATGTGCATACACACACATGCATATGCATGGTCCAAAGCATTTCTGCTCTATTTATGTGACAAGCCATATATCTGTGGTTATGTTTATGTATAGATGTAGATTTGTGTCTATCATTTTCCGTATGTGTGTATATAAATATATATAGTGTGCATATAAGTGTGCGTGTATATATATAGTGTGTAAGTAAATAAGTGTGCATGTATGTAAATATGTACCTGTGTATATGCATGTGTGTGTGTATGGACATACGTATTCGTGTATATACAGATTATATGTATGTGCGCGCGCACATATGCAGTATGTGTAGGAGTGTGTGCGTGTGTGAACACAGAGGACATGCACCCAGGGACACCAGATGCAAGGCCTAATTCGGAAATGGCTTCACCATCACAATGAGATTGAGAGAGCTTCCACACTTCTTCAAGTCCCATAACGACTGACCAGTTCAAAAAATCCAATATCAGTGTCGCTAGTGGAGGAAAAAATAAAAAGCTGCTAGCTCTAGCAACCAACCATTGCAGGGCCTAGTGGACATTTTCAGCTCAGGGTTCTGTTTCCTGCCACTCCCTCTAAGCCCCCATCTACACGGCTACATAACGCACTTTGAAGCTGCATGATAAGATCAGTGCAGGCCCATATGATGCGGTTCAATGAAATTAAACTGCAGTATGCGAGTCTACAGCAGGCATGGGCAAACTTGGGTCCTCCAGGTGTTTGGACTTCAACTCCCACAATTCCTAACAGCCGGCTGTTAGGAATTGTGGGAGTTGAAGTCCAAAACACCTGGAGGACCCAAGTTTGCCCATGCCTGCTGTAGACTCACATACTGCAGTTTCATCTGTGGAAATGGAACCTGATACCCATCGTTCTCTTCGAGTTCTAGTATTATTTAATCCGAGGTGACTCTTCCCTCCCCATCACCCCCTCCAGCCATCAAGGGTTTGGTGGGTCTAGACACCCCCACTTTGCTGTTATTGTTGGGGTCTCTCTCTCTTCCTTTCCCCCACCACTCCTTTTCCCCCAGGAGAGCAGCAGCAACAACAACAAGCGACTGAAGTCCAAAAGCCCCAGGAGGCCATTCATGGGAATCGGTTGGATTGTTTACATGCCTAGAGACACAAGGCGCCTCCCAGGGCCACAAAGAGGAGAGGCCTTTTTGCCTTGAGAACAGAGCCACCATTTCTTCCAAGGCCTCCATATAGACATGGCATGGATCTGTGTGTGTTTATATACACACACATATTATACACACAGAGATATAATATAGATAGATATCTGTGTGTATGTGTGTTTATATAAACACACACATACCTAGCATATATATATACACTCACACAATATAAATATATACACACACAATATAAATATGTATGCATACTCACACAATGTAAATATATCTACACACAATATATATATATATACACACAAAATATAAATATATAGACACATATTGTAAATATATATGCACACAAAATATATGCACACAATATAAATAAATATATACAAATACAATCATATGCACATTCACACAATATAACTATAGATGCACACTCACACAATATAAATAGACACACACAATTTATATACACACAATATAAATATAGACACACATTGTAAATATATATGCACACATAATGTAAATATATATGCACACAATATAGATATATATATATATATACAAACACAATTATATGCACACTCACACAATATAAATACACACACAATATAACTATTTATGCACAATCACACAATATAAATATATATGCAGATTCACACGATATAAATACATACACACACACACACACACAATATATATATGCACACACTCACACAATATACACACACACACACAACATATATACACACACACAACATATATATACGCGCACACACACACACACAACATAAATATACACACACACACGCACGCAGGGGCAATGATGTTAGTGCCACGCACCTCGAACTGCCAGTGGGCGGCCTGCAGCAGCTGCTTGGCTTGATCCGCCGCGCACCCGGCCGCCAGCACGAACTGGTTGATCATGACCTGATGCCGGAGCTCCTCCATATTCACCGACATGGCGAGCGAGACGAAACCACAACACGCGCGACGGCGGGCGGGGGGAGGGAGGGGCGAGCGAGCAAGCGAGAGAGAGAGCCCAATCTAATCCACAAAGGCCCCTTTTCCTTCCTTCCTTCCTTCCTCCCTCCCTTCCTTCCTTCCTTCCTTCCTCCTCCTCCTTCTTCCTTGGAGCCTGTGTTGATATGACGCCCCTTTCCTCCTCCTCCTCCGGCCGCCCTCCCGCCCCTTCCCGCCCCTTCCCGCGGCTAAAGCTCAGCGGCTGGGCGCCCCACCGGCAACAGCAGCAGCATCGGCGTCGCCCAGCGGGAGGCGGAGCATGCGGAGGGAAAGAGAGAGAGAGAGAGAGAGAGGCTCCGGGTGGGCCAAGGGGAAGCCGGAGGTTGCCTCAACGCTGATTGGCCGCCGCCGGGTTCTTGGCGTGGATGAACGTTCGGTTCGAATTTTCCAGGCGGAGGATGTTTCTCTTTCGTAGTCCCGCCCCTTTCGCCGCCTCCCATTGGAGGAGAAGCCGCCTCGCGTTGATTGGCCCCTCGCTTATGTTTTGGCTCGAGCACGCCTCCGCCATTGGCCTACCCGCCGCATTTATTTATTTATTTCTGCTCTCGTAAGGGAGGGGGGTCACGCGAGGCTCTCGTTTGCACTGGAAATTCGACTCCCTTTGTTGATTGGCCGGTTCGCTCCCCCGCCCGTGCTTTTTTCCACTGTTGTGAAAAAAAAAAAAACATAAACCAGGGGGAAAAAGGAGGGGGGGGAGAGGAAGTGTCGTTTGTAAAATAAATAAATAAGCCAAGTTCATTGACTAAGCAGCATGCTCAACTGGAAAAACGAGAAGGCCTAGAATTGATTCATTTCCTGACACAAAAAAGGGCTGGTCATTTTGAAAACTAAACAAAAGGGGGGAAAGGCCAACCCAGCCCATGCTGGGAACGGTGGGAGTTGCAGTTATTTCCCCCCCATAGGTTGTCAGGCACCAGAGTGGTTGTGAACCAAATTCTAGAACAGTGGTAATGCCGCGACCCCTTAATACAGTGCCTCACGTTGTGGTGACCCCCAACCATAAAATTATTATTATTGCTACTTCCTAATTATAATTGTGTTACTGTTATGAATCATAATGTAAAAATCTGAAATGCAGGATGTATTTTCATTCACTGGACCAAATTTGGCACAAATACCCCAAAACAGCACTCCATGCTGTCATGTCAGCTACATGACCTTGGAGGTGTCTATGAACAACACTGGCTCTTTGGCCTAGAAATTGAGCACCAACTCCCAGAGTTGGACACGACTGGACTTAATGTCAGTGAATACTGGTGGGATTGGAGGGAAAATTGATTATGTCATTTGGGAGTTGTAGTTGCTGGGATTTATAGTTCACCTACACTTAAAGAGCATTTTGAACTCCACCAATGATGGAATTGGACCAAACTTGGCACACAGAACTCCCACAACCAACGAAAAATACTGGAAGGGTCTGGTGAGCACTGACCTTGAGTTTGGGAGTTGTAGTTCACCTGCATCCAGAGAGCATTGCAGACTCACACAATGATGGATCTGGACCACACTTGGCACAGATACTCAATATGCCCCAATGTGAACACTGGTGGAGTTTGGGGAAAATAGACCTTGACATTTGGGATATGCAGTTGCTGGGATTTATAGTTCACCTGCAACGAAGAGCCCTCGCTTGCTCCGCACCCCTGCTGGCCGGCGGGAGAGCGGAGCAGGCGAGGGGCGCCCAAGGAGCCACTCGCCCATCCCTCACCTCCTTCTGCCATCAGAAGGAAGCGAGGGAGGGGTGGATGGCTTCGCGCGTGGCCTAGCCACCTGCTCGCCTGTCCCTCGCCTCCTTCTGCCATCAGAAGGAGATGAGGGACAGGGGGATGGCTTCGCGCGCGGGAATGCCAGTGGCGCAGGGGGTCGGCCGCCATTTTGGAGGGGGCGTGGCCAGCCAATGCGGCTTCGCGACCGACAGAAAATGGCCAAACGACCCCCCGAGGGGTCGCGACCCCCAGGTTGAGAACCGCTGTTCTAGAATCATATAATTGAGTTGGAGGAGACATCATGGGCCACCCAATCCAACCCTCTGCCAAGAATCAGGAAAATCGCATTCAAAACACCCCTGACAGATGGCCATCCAGCCTCTGTTTAAAAGCCTCCAAAGGAGCTTCCACACTCTGGGGCAGAGAGTTCCACTGCTGAACAGCTCTCACAGTCAGGAAGTTCTTGCTAATGTCCAGGTGGAATCTCCTTTTCTGTACTTTGAAGCCATTGTTTGTTTGTTTGTTTACTATATTTCTATCCTACCTTTCTCAAACCTGAAGGAGACTCAAGGCAACTTACACCTAGGCAGCCATTCAATGCCATAACAATATACACTTAAAACCACATTTAAAACAGAATTTTAAAAGTACATACAATAAGGTAAAGGTTTTCCCCTGACATTAAGTCCAGTTGTGTCCAACTCTGGGGGTTGGCACTCATCTCCATTTCTAAGCCGAAGAGCTGGCGTTGTTCATAGACACCTCCAAGGTCATGTGGCCGGCATGACTGCATGGAGCACCGTTACCTTCCCGCCAGAGCGGAACCTATTGCATGCTTTAGAACTGCTAAGTTGACAGAAGCTGGGGCTAACAGCGGGAACTCATGCCACTCCCCAGATTCAAACCTGTGATCTTTCAGTCAACAAGTCAGCAGCTCAGCAGTTTAACCCACTGCACCACCGGGGGCTCCTACATTATATCTGGATTATATGGCAGTATAGAAGGGGCCTGAGTCTTCCTCTTTCAATACAGGTTGTGCAATGGGTTAAACCCTTGTGTCAGCAGGACTGCTGACCGAAAGGTTGGCAGTTCAAATCTGGGGAGCAGGGCGAGTTCCCGTTTGTCAGCTCCAGCTTCCCATGCAAGGACCTGAGAGAAACCTCCCACAGGATGGTTAAACATCCGGCCATCCCCTGGACAATGTCCTTGCAGACAGCCAATTCACTTAGACCAGAAGCGACTTGTAGTTTCTCATGTTGCTCCTGAAACATACAAAGAAATACCATACTGCATCACAATTATTAGTGGCAAGCTCATTTTACAAATATTTTTATTTACTTCTTTATCTGGGTTCAAAAACCGACCATTGGCAGCCTCATTGCTGCTGTCTCATCCGTTTCCCCAGTTTAGAGAAGTCATTTGGAAACTTTTCAGTGTGCCTGTGTTTCCAACTTCCTGAATATTTGAAACCATCTGCACTCTTGGTTTCCCAAACAGTTGTGATTCATAATAACTATTAACATACGGCTCCAAATCATTAATGTATTCAGTGAAATCTGAAAGAGGAAGAAGGTGCATGTTGCATCCAATGTAGGTTTGACATTCATGCAGCGCATCGATGTGTGTTGTGTGTACAAATGCTGAATTTCATATTTGAATCACACTGCAGTATTAATGTGCTGTAGCTGCAAAGCCTCAACTTGATTCCAGTTGCCACATATGGTACCATTATGAGCCCAACTTGCGCTGATATCAGGGCACTTTCACACGACACCATTAAAATGCATTATAATTCTTATCTCAACCTCAAATTTACAATGGAAGCAGGATGACATGGCAATACAGAAATCCAAGAATGGAAGAAAGGGAAAGGAAGAAAATAAGAGGGCCCATAACTGAATCTCATGGCACTCTTACAGTTATAGAGAAAGCATTTGAACTACATCTCCAAAATAAAAAAGTAGAGGAATAGGAAAACAAAAGAAGAGTGAATCCGGGACAAAGTATTCCATATTATTCCCAATGATGCCAACAATAAAAGTAAAGTCTGATGACCCATAGTGTCGAAGCTGCAGAAAGATCCGGCAGGATTAACACCGATATTTGGCACAGAGCTTTAGCCCCTAGAATATCATTTACTACACAAGTCAAGACTGTTTCAGTGGTCCCTTCCACTCAGCTGTATAAAATCCACATTTAACTAGATTATATGGCTGTGTGGACTCAGATAATCCAGTTCAAAGCAGATATTGTGGTTTATCTGACTTGATATTCTGGATTATATGACTGTGTGGAAGAGCCCAGTGAAGTGACCTATACGAAATCCTGATTGAAATGGGTCAAGGAGATTGTGTGTAATCAGATAGGCCTTTAAGTCCTTCGCAGGTTGCTTTACATGAATATCAGAGGCATCTTTATTTAGAAGAAATGTCACCGTCCCAACAGCCCAGACCAGGAATGTAATGTTGTTTCAGTCCCATGACATGATAATAAAGAGAGCTAGCACAAGCAATTGCTACAAAAAAAAATGCAGTTGAGGTTGACAGAGTCTTTGCCATCACCCCTGAAAACACTTCTATTTTGTGGATAGCAATCTTTTTGAGAATGGATAACTATGCAGCTGTTGTTTGGACGCATAGGTCACTCCAGTAAATGGTATAAATTGATTCTTCATTAATAAACAACCTCATATGCTTTTTTTGCTATGGTCTATGAATGGTCTCCCCAATCATCATTGTCATTGGTGATCATTCAGTCCAAGTAGGATGGCCTTCCAAGCATAGGGTCTTAGTGGTGGGTCCATAGGTGACTGTGGAGGCCTATTCTTGACCTGCATATTCTTCCACTGTGAGGACATCCGTTTTCAGGTGGAAGACAGTCCTGGTCAGGGTTGGCTTGATGTGCCTTCGTCTTGGCACATTTCTCCCTTTCACCCTCCATTTGTGCTTCTTCGAATTCCACAACACTCTTCGTAACAGCTGACCTTTGGTAAGAGCACTCAAAGACCAGGACTTCCTAGTTTCCAGTGATCGGGCATTCGGACAACATGGCCAGTCCAGCAAAGTTGATTCAATGCTGGTGTTCTTTGCTTCTTCTAGCATGCTAATGTTTGTCCGCCTGTCTTCCCAAGAGATTTGCAGGATGTTTCACAGGCAATGCTGATGGAATCATTCCAAGAGTTGAGTGTGATGTTTGTAGATGGTCCACGTTTCACAAGCATATAACAGGGTTGGGAGGACAATAGCTTTATAAATGAGCACCTTGGTATCCCTACAAATGTCCTGATCCTCAAACACTCCCTGCTTCATTCAGAAGAATGCTGCACTCGCAGAGTTCAGGCGGTGTTGTATTTCAGTGTTGATGTTGATTTTTGTGGAGAGGTAGCTGCCAAGATAGCGGAAATGGTCAACATTTTCTAACATTACACCACTAAGCTGTATTTC